CTATACCTCCTCCCTCTTCTTTTGAGTGTCTTGTTTTAAATGTTTCTATCCCCCAATCTACTATAATTGCGACAGTTTACAGACCACCCAAACCCAGTGGAGTCTTCTTAGGTGAGTTTGGTGATTTTCTCTCATTCTTATCCCTTAAATTTAAAAGGATCCTTATTCTAGGGGACTTTAATATACACATTGATTCAACCTCTTCCAGTCTGGCTAAAGGCTTCCTTTCTCTTTTGGGATGCTTTGACCTTACTCAGTTTGTTTGTACCCCTACACATAACAAAGGACACACTTTAGATCTAATTATTGCAAATGACTCCTTTGTCTCACACTGCTCTCCCCTTGATCTAGGCCTCTCTGAACACTTAGCCATTCTCTTCAATCTGGAATTACCAGTTTCTAACACTTCCCCCTCACGCTCTGTAAATTTCCGCAACTGGCGATCAATTGATCACCCAAGGTTTGCTAATTCTCTTTTATCTACCCTCGACACCTTTGCTCCTTTAAAAACTCGAACCATCTCCTTCTCTCGCCCTGCCCCCTGGTACAATGACCATCTGCGATTTATGAAGGCGGCCTCTCGCAAACTTGAGCGTAGGTGGCGTCTTTCCGGCCTAAATGTACATTATCAGGCCTGGAGAGATTACTTATCTGATTATAAGGTTACTATAGAGTCTGCTAGATCCACCTACTTCTCTCACATCATTGAAAATCACCAAAACAATCCCAGACATCTTTTCTCCACCATCAACAAACTGCTCAAGCCAAACTGCCCTACCACATTACCTGCCTCATCACAACTTTGCAACACATTCTTAGATTTCTTTAGTTCTAAGATTGACAACATCCGGCATCACATTCTCTCCATTACGGATATAATTTCCATACCTCCTCCCTCCTCATCCAACTTCTCTGGTTCCCGTCTCTCCAGCTTTGTACCAACAGTCCTCAAAACTGCTGCTATCACCCCCGTGCCAAAGAAGTCTAACATGGCTCTCGACAATCTTAACAACTTTCGCCCCATCTCCAACTTACCCATTCTCTCTAAAATTCTAGAACGTGCTGTCACACTTCAGTTACATAACCACCTCATGACAAACAACCTTTTCGAACCCCTCCAATCTGGCTTCCGTCAACTTCACAGCACAGAAACCGCCCTAGTCAAAGTCACTAACGATCTACTAATAGCTCCTGATTCTGGTTCTCTTTCCATACTCATCCTTCTTGATCTCAGTGCTGCCTTTGACACTGTTGACCATAACATCTTACTTTCTCATCTCGAGACTGTGTTTGGAGTCTCTGACACTGCCCTCAAATGGTTTAAGTCTTACCTCACTGATCGCCGTCACTGTCTCTCTCAATTGGTCTTGTCAAGTCTGGTGTCTCCCAGGGCTCAATACTGGGCCCCTTGCTCTTCAGCAGTTACATGTTCCCACTTGGTCAGCTTTTAAGATCACATGGCCTCAGCTTTCATTTTTACGCTGATGATACTCAAATATACATCCATACCAAACCCGACACTGATGTGGCTGTCTCTATTCTATCTACTTGCATCTCTGACATAAAAATTTGGATGACTCAAAACTTCCTTCATCTTAACTGTGACAAGAATGAAGTTATGCTTATTGGTACCCCATCAACTTCGTAAAGCCAGTCTTGTAACCCTGTCTGTAGATGGCTCTGTACTTGAGCTTCAATCAAAATTGAAAAACCTTGGAGTTATATTTGATTCTGGCTTAACATTCGACCCACATGTACAGCATACTGTCAAAACATATTTTTTTCACCTTAGAAATATCGCAAGACTACGCCCTATGCTATCATTAACTGTGGCTGAGAAGCTGATCAAGATATTTGTTTTCTCTCGAATTGACTACTGCAATGCTCTATTCCCTGGGGTATCTAAATCTACTCTTAACAAGCTGCAGTATCTCTAAAATTCAGCAGCCAGAATCCTGACCAGGTCTAGTGCAAGTGTTCACATTACTCCTATCCTGGAGTCCTTGCACTGGCTTCCGGTCAAATTGCGCATAGACTTTAAAATCCTCATGCTCACCTATAAGGCTTTATATGGCTTGGCACCTTAATACCTGTCTGAACTTTTATCGCCCTACTCCCCACCTCGTAACCTCCGCTCTTTAAATTCTGCCCTCCTTACTGTCCCCCAAGCCCGTCTACATTGTATGGGCGACAGGGCCTTCTCCTGCTATGCCCCCAAGCTCTGGAACTCTTTGCCCAAGGATATTAGAGAGTCACCTTCTCTAAACTCCTTCAAATCCAGACTCAAAACCTTCTTCTTCAGAAAAGCCTTTACTTAACGGGTTCCATTCTTCACCCCTCTGCTCTTCTTAATACCACCTTCCACGGTCTCCTCTATTGTTATTGTTGTATTGTTGTAATTATAATTGTGTCCTATCTTGTGAAATCTTCTTATTTATTGTTGTAGTCTTCTTATTATTGTCATCCTGTAAAGCGCTTTGAGAAGCCACCTTTAAAGGCGCTATATAAAATAAAGTTTTATTATTATTATTATTATTATTATTATTATTATTACCATGAACTTAATAGATCAGAGGAAGCAACACTTTATGTGTGAAAATACATGTTTAAAGGTACAGTATGTTGATCCAAATGCTGAAAAATCCCAATTCTCAATATTTTAAACATTAGTGGTTTGAAATCTCTGTGTATTTGCCTTATAAAATTGGCATCTGAAACATTGTGTCTCAAAAATAAATAGGTGTTTAAATGATAAAGTGACAATTTGTGGAAAAAAAATCACAAATTGCTTTCAATAAAATGCAAGAAGTTTCACATCTCTTGGTATTGTTAAGAAACTGTTGAAGTACGAAAAATAAAGATCGAACGAATATTGAACTTCAAGCTAACTTAACGGTGGTGCATTTCAAAATCTTCATCATCCATCCACCAAAATACTGAAAAATCCATGTCATTGGTATCAAAGCTGTCAGGTTTAATCAGAAAAGAAAACATCAGGCCAAAACACTGGAAATCCTGAAATCTGACAGAAAATTCTGATACCAATTCTTGCATGTGTACTCCAAATTTCGAGTTCATTCATATGCGTAGTATGTTGTAAAGAGTCAAGCATGTTGTTTTTATTGTTTTTTTAACTTGTTTTTTTCATGGCTTATTTGACTTTTATTGCACATGCTATTAAAAATCCCATTACGCCCCAATAATGGCATGTGTGGCATAGGTTCCAACCCCTGTTCTGTAACATTTGGTGTATTATTGACATCTTCTATTATCATTATCCTAGCGAATTTACTACTTCTTTATAATTTCCATTTATCATTTCCTGTTATTATTTTTCTGTTATTTCATTCTTTACTTTTACTTTTGCAGTTCATACCTGATGAAGGCTTGACAGCAAAAGCTTTGTGGCTTTATTCTTTTCAGCATGGAATTAACCTTTCCTTATTACATTTTCTATTACTATTATTTATTAGCTTTTATCTATTTAGACATTGAGCTTGAATGGGACATATTCAGAAGTATACAGAAGTATCTCAGTAAAAGATTATTTTAGAGTTTTCTTAGACTACTGTTTGGCTTTGTAAAGAGATGACCGGGACAGTAAGCCATTATGAGATCCATTCTCTGAAACTAGAGTGATTTCTAAAAAAAAGTATTTGTTTCAGCTACAATACTAATGGTGTTAATGTCAATGATAAATAAAGTCACCAAATATCATTGGGAGGATTTATTTCCTACACTCAGCAAATTTACATGCACTCATCATTACCCTAGTAAGAATGTACTGAATATGTTGAATGTGTTGAATAGTGTAATTGAACACTTATGCTCTCACATTATATTTAGGACCAATAAAAATTGTTTTTCTTTAAAGGGCGGCTATTGGATATATTGCACACCAAGGGTCAGCGGGGCTATGTGGTGTTTCTGGAAAGTCTGGAGTTTTACTATCCTGACCTTTACAGACTGGTAACTGGGAAGGAACCCACTCGCAGATTCTCTACTATTGTTGGTAAGCTATTTAACACAAACCTCCCTTCAGCAAGGAAAATTTACAAAAATAGCATACATTCTGATGTTCAGAAAGAAGTGAAGGTCAGTCACTTGGGTTTGGCCAACAGTTATGTGGACTTTGTGGTTTCATGTAGTCTAGATTAAATGTTACGCTCCATCACATAACGCCTACTAAACGACACTATACTTAGTAAGTCTAGTCACGGTTGTCCAAACCTGGTCCTTGAGAGCCCGAGTCCAGCCTTTTTATAGGTAACCATTAAGTAATCAATTTCTTTAGACTGGTAACAATTGATCATTGGTCAAATAAGCAAGTAATGTGTTCAGTTAAGTAATTTAGAGATTATTTTGAAAAGAACTTTATTACCCCTCTGTCCTCACTGGCAAGAGTTTCATTCTTTAAACAAATTGCTTGCTTAATAAGTCAAAGGCTTAAAATTTTTGTTTCTAAACTTTAAATAATAAATTAATGTGATGTATAGGAATAACTGGACTGGAGTTCTCCAGGACCAGGGATGGAGTCCTCCAGTTTAGGTACTGTAAAGTGTTAAAATGGCATCATCAGTTTGTCATTTGAGGGACTTTTCTTATGCAATAAACACCAGCTCACAATACACTCCTGACACTGGCAGTGTGCGAACTTATTTTTTTTTGGTTTTAAGTCTCAGACTCTTTGAGACTACCCATCAGTGTGCAGATGGTATGGCATAAGGCATAAAATGAGAGAACTGGGTCTTTGTAGGTCAAAAGAAGAACTTTAAAAGCCGTCATATAATGAACTGTACTATTTTCAGTGGAGGAAGGTCATGAGGGGCTGACACAGTTCCTCATGAACGAGGTGATCAAACTTCAGCAGCAGGCCAAGGCCAAGGATGTGCAGCGTGTGGAAATCTTGGGAAAGCACCAGACTCTGGAAGATGAGCACAAGAAACTCCGTCTAGTCAATCAGGAGCTGCTCACCTTCCAGGAGCGCTACAACAAGATGAAAGAGGAGAGGAATAACTGCATGGATGAGCTCATGAAAGTCAAGGATGACAATTACAACCTGGCTATGCGCTACGCCCAACTTAGTGAGGAGAAGAACATGGCTGTCATGAGGAGCCGTGACCTCCAGCTTGAGGTGAGGTTTGTGCTTCTTCCTGTTGATTCCTGACTCCTCAGTGAGTTGGATAACTAAACCTCAGGAGTGCCTGCAAATGATCAAGGCTGTGCTTGAGAAAAACAGTAGAACACCAAGATGATTATTCTTAAATTAATACATTTTCAGAATTAGTTTCTCATGCTGTTTCATTGAAAAGCGTTCTTTTATTAAACGACAAATTCTTCTCCTGACATTTTATTGGCTTGACTGTCAGGCTGTTGTTCCTTTTTTCGCTTTGGAACATTATACAGATAATATAAATAGACAATTTACAGTATATATACAGTATATCAGTTTATACTGTATGAGAGTATCTCACACTGCAGCAATTCCAGTGAACTCAATTGTAGTAAGTACTTCATTGCATTCATTGCAACCAGTTTTACAGTTTCTAAATTGTTAACTAGTTGGATTAATATAGCAGTTTGTCCTCTTGTTATAATAAAATACTGCAACAGATTGAATTGAAAGGACAGCAGTGCAGCGGTTTAAGAAAACCTGGACTATGCTGTATTTAGTATAGGGGAGGTGGGGGGGAAAGGTCTATGTGGAAGGGAAGTATTTAGTATACTGTACGTCAGGCAATAATTAATGGCCATATTTTTTAGTATCAATCTTACGTTTGACTAACCCTGCATTATCGGGGGCTATTTAATATTTCTTTTGCTTGCTTCGCATAGAAAAACACTTTTTGTAGACACACATGCCATAGTAATCAATAATTGTACTAAGCTAATTACCAAGTAGCATGATTAGCTCAGTACCTGTATGAAAATATGCAGTTTAAATTATGATTGGGAGTATAGAATAATTGTGCACTATCTTACTGTATGTCATTCATAGAATGAAAAGAGTGCTGAAAATGTCTGTAAGTTAATTGGCTTATTTTAAATACTCAACAGAAATATTTAAATGAAAGTAAATTTCACAGTTGCCACAGACTATTCATATCCAAATAATAAGAAGATAAGTATACATAAACTTTTTTTCATGAATAGACTATTTTCATGCAGGAAACCTTTGACTAATTACACAATTGACTGGCTGATGAGATTCTGAATATTTAATTTCCAGGATTTCTTGAAATGAAAAATATATGTCAAGACAGCTTTTCATCACTCTTCTGTGGATGTAAGCTAAATTTATTTTACATTATCTTTTACTTTCCTGTGGTGGAACTGTGCTCCACTAGCCCCAGAAAATGAACTGCCACTGATCACTGTCATTTAGTTTAGGATATTTAGTTTGATTCAGCTAGGAGTCAAAGTGTATAATGTCTGGGATGTTCATACAGTAAAATGCAAAGTCTGTACCTGCCATTAAAAAAGGCTGGCAAATTGTTTTAATTTCAGATTGACCAGTTAAAGCACAAGCTGAACAAGGTGGAAGAGGAGTGTAAGCTAGAAAGGAAGCAGTCACTGAAGCTAAAGAATGACATTGAGAATCGACCTCGCAAAGAGCAGGTCCTGGAGCTGGAGAGGGAGAATGAAGTGCTGAAGATGAAGGTTCAGGAGCTGCAGTCCATTCTACAGGTATTCAGTCTGTGTCAATGCAGAAAGGCACATTGAAAAGCATAGTCCCTGAAAGCAAGAAACTAAAATCATGCATTGTGACCATTCAAACTTGGTATGTTGCCTTTTAATACTAACAGATTTTTCTGGGTAGATGTCTGTAGGTGTGGAAGCAGTTGTAAAATGCTAAGCAGCTGTTTTTTCAGCCAGAAAACAAACTTTAAAGGAATAAGAAGACAAGATGATGACAATGTAACCAGATACCAGATATAGGACAGATGAGCTAAAAGTTAAGGTAATGAGGTGATTTAACCTGCTGAAAGTCATGTCTGGTAAGAACTGGGAAAAAACAAAAAGAAAGTAACCAATATGCCCATTTATCATGAAAACAACACCTTTGTTCCACTGTTTTGTTGGAGATTTGACTAGGTTACCTCAGATGGACTCTCCATCAGGGGAGCTAAGTCCTTTTTATTAATGAAGATGTGGAGAATGATTGTTGGGTGTAACAGTTCAGGTGATGAGGAAGCCCAAATACGATGGTCCAGGCAGGAATGTCTAGATGATTGATAGCAAATGGATTGCACAGTGCTACATTCATAAAGTCCTACATCATGAGACCCATCGAATATGTGTGTAATGAACTAGGATGACATGTTCATTGACTAGTAAAAGGACTCAGAGATCAGTGAACAGGCACATGCTTGTCCATGATTAACAAGATGAATGGAATAGAATCCCACAAGACACCTGGTTCAAAGCATGAGCAATAGTTACACAGCTTGTTTTACTTCCAACAGTAGTCATGCACCCTGATAGCCTGTGACATTCAGTGTAACCCCCTGTTGATCAACCCTGTACACGATAAATGTTAATTAAGATAATTAATTTATCTTTGTCATGTCTGTTGAATAAAGGTTAGTGCCCCTTACTGTATACTTAAAAGATTTGATCACTTTCCTCACAATGAATTTTGTTCATTTGTTCCAGTTGTATGCGAGAAGTTTCTATGTGTTATCAGTATATACTGTATGTAGAAGAATTCCTGATTCATTATTATAACAGAAGTTTAACTGAAAGCTATTTTTGCTGCTTGTTTGCTACTTTGATGTGTGTTTACCAGATTAGTTCCAGTTCAGCAGCTACAGATAAAGCTGTGATGTTCATGGATTTACATCAGCTTCAAAGTTGCAACTGTTTTTTAAATCAACTAACTTAGTGCAGAAATCTATACATTTCAGTGAAAATATGGAAGGTACAAATAACAATGAAGTGTATAGGCCTCCACCTTCTGTCTCTTCACATTTATTTAGTCAATAATGGTGATATTCTTACATTTTTCTTAAATATTGTGATTTTTTTTCTTTTGCATTACTTGGTGTGGATATTTGTCATATACTCCACAGTGAAAATATCAGTAGGAAATAGCTTTCTTCATTTAAAAATCCTACTTTCTGGAACATTGTGTGTTTTTATGAAGTTTCTTAGGCTCTAGGTCAAACAAGTCTTAAAGATAGTTGAAGACAAACACTAGACATTAACCTAACTCTCTGTTTTTATCTATTTTTCCCAATAGCCTGGAAAGCAGGTCCTGCCAGACTCAGAGAAGGCTATACTGGATATCCTAGAGCATGACAGGCAGGAGGCTCTGGAGGATCGACAGGAACTTGTTAACAGGCTGTATAACCTACATGAAGAAGTACGCCAGGCGGAAGAGCTAAGGGACAAGGTGAGAATGCATATAGGTACACTTTCTGAGCTCTGTCATAAGGACACTCGCCATGTGTGGTTACACTGTGGAGCATTGGTATTTAGAGGTGAAACAAGTGAGTACAGGATTTGACGATGACACAGTTAAAGTATGTGTTATAATTGTTGAACACAGAGAAAAAAAATTATATCTGAACTGTTTTTTGACTTGATTGAAACTACAATAATAGAACATCGAACAAGCATTGAAAGCGATGATCCCAGCAGAAGGAAGGGTTTTGTTTATTTTTGATTGGGTTTTATGCTTGTTCATAATTCTTTAATAATCTCTTTTAGTTTTGTGTGTTTCTCAAATTTAATTAAAATAAATTAAAAAAATCATCTTTGCTTCTGAAACATTCATTATGAAGATTTTTTTGTTGTCATCATATTTGTTTTGCTTCCTCAGGCTTTTTTTCTCCTAAAACCCAACAGAGACTTTCACATAGTGTATAGACAGTCAAATATAGTCACATTTTCAAGTAAAGTTACTGTAGCAGCATTGCAGTAGATTATTGCTTTTTTATTGATCTATGAATCTGTGAAGTACAGGTGGTTTTTGCAATCCTAAATAAACACGTTTACTAAATACTGTTGAGTGAACTCAACAGTACCTTTATGGCTACTAGGAATGCTAAGGACTTAAGAAATACAGTATATTCCAATTTTATTAATACAATAATAAAATATGCAAAAAATGCCAAGATAGGGTATTAATATACAGTATATGAATCACTCTGCCATGCTAAATTTGGCTGATCACTAATTTAGGGATGTACAGTATATCAGTATATCAGAACATAGTTAATATATGCTGACTGTTATAATTTTATCCAACCTCATAATTTAGTAAGTTTCATATAATAACTTCAACAATCATGTGGTCAAAAGAAAAGTAAATATTAAGTTACTTTCTTAAATTGTTTGTAATAATATTATAATTCTCAAGTATTTCAAGTAGGTAGCTGCGTCAGGATGCGTAGGCTACAAAGGAACAAGTAAAGGTTTATTCCATGCTGAAAAGGGAAGAAAGGAAACACAATATTTTGACAATGATGTTGTGTTTCCTTTCTTCTCTTTTCAGCATGGAATAAACCTTTACTTGTTCCTTAATAATTCTCAAGTGTGATTATGTAAAAAATGGAATTTATACTGATCAAAAGAATGTTTGGCCAGGCTGTTCTGATGTTTTTCAAAAGTCCACAGGGAGAAATATGGTGGATTTAGTCACAGCATCCAGTCCTTGTTTGTGTCAGAGTTGATCCTGACACTAAGCCAAAGGTGGACAAGCTGGTGCAGTAGAAAAAAGAGAGAGTTCCACCTTACATTGAAGTTGGCTTTCCTGAAATGTCAAAATAAGGAAAATTGTGCAAGTCAATACTTAAATGGGGAAAAACTTAGAAAGACTGCTCACCTGTATTTTGTAGCTGCTTATACTGATTATTCACTGATATTCAATGGTATCGACTGAAGTTCCACAGTATTATTTCATTGATCAGGCTGTCAGGAACAGTTCTTTCCGGGCCCTATGCGGGCGACACGATCCAAAAGGTGAAGAAACAATAGGGAAAAATATCATGCAGGAGTCGGTCAGGAGACAGGGGGGCGTGTCCATGCAGTGCTAGTGTCCGGGGGGAGTGAATCCAGGGCGAACAATCCAAGGGTAAATCCAGAGGGGGAATCCAAGACGGGAGGTTTAGTCCAAGACCAGGGGATCCATCCGTAGTTAAAACCAGAACCGGGTCGGGACCGGCGGGGCAGGGAATCAGGAACAGGAAACTAAAACCATAACGGAGCCAGACGCGGCAAGACCCCGGGCTCACACGACACGGAAATCAATGAGAAGCCCCGAGCAATCGCCTGCGTCTGGCTTTAAAGGTGGAACTAAAGAGGGGCTGGAATAAGGAACAGGTGTGGGGAATGGGACAGAACGAGGAAGGGCTGGAGCGCCCTTAAGAGGAGGAGTAACGATCGTGACACAGGCAAAACTACAATTTGGATCTTGCCACAAAACTTTTCCTTTGGTAGAGGAAGTCTTGGGCAGAATTCTGTTTTGCATATGGTCTCTCGGTCAAACAGATGCTTTCAGCTAAGTCAGGTCAGTTGCATGTTCAATAGTGCTGGTTGCATTTACATAAATTTTTCTTGCTCTCAAGTGGTCAGGGGTCTTGAAGAATTGTTGAATTTGTTGGGCAAAACCTTTTATATTGTGTTGTTATGAGTGACAATTGGTCATGTTGTCATCAGATGTAGGGTTCATGTGGCATGTTCCTAGTTGACTTATAAATGGCCCTGATGTGGAATTATAACAGGTTCTCTCTATCTGTGGTTCATACCCAGGTGTGTCTCCCTCTTGAAGTTGCAGACTAAGAGGCATCATTTTGGGCAGGTCATTACAGGAAATATCATGAAGAAATCCATAATGTCAATGTTCCATCTCCATAGTCAATCTAAAGTCTTACCTATGTCACAACTCGTTTGTGTTTTACAATATTCCTGCAGTACTTGGAAGAAAAAGAGGATCTGGAGCTGAAATGTTCCACACTGGTAAAGGACTGCGAAATGTACAAGAACCGCATGAATACCATCATGATCCAACTGGAAGAGGTGGAGAGGGAGCGGGATCAGGTCTGCTTTTGGATTATCCTAAATGGGAGATTTTAGTGATTTGGCTCACCTGCGAAATACACAGATACTGTGAGGATGAATTCAGAAAATTATTTCAAGTAGGTAGCTGCATCAACATGTGTAGAATGCAAAGGAACAAGTAAAGGTTTATTCCATGCTGAAAAGAGAAGAAAAGAAACACAACGTTTCGGCTATAGAGCTTTCATCAGGGATGAGAGAGAGAGGAAAATCGACAGCTGATAAAGCAAGGGAGAACAAAAGCCGGGAGTAGAGAGGGGGTGGGAGCAGGAGAGAAGCAGAGTCGACACTTAGGTGGTGTGAAGTCGAGAGAGCGAGAGAGGTGAACAGAGGTGTGAAGTCAAAACCTGCAAATGAATAGAGAGGAATAGAAGGAAATTAGTCTGTCATTCAGAGAACGGAGAAGGTGTGATCCTAGTTTTAGGATAATTTTGGTTTCAGGTGTCTTTCTGCAATAGGAGTTCTGAAACCCCTCTTTGGGAATGCAGACGGAGAGATCAGTATGGGAAATGGGAAACTATGGGCTTGGAAAGATCTTTGATCCTCACAGCCCTGACATGTTCCCTGAAGCGGTCTCCCAGTCTCCTTCCTGTTTCACCAATGTAGATAGCTTGGCAGAAAATTATATGTTTTCAAAAGCCATGCTTGATAGGAAAAACATGTAGGTTCTAACCATAATAAGTATGAGGTTGCCAAAGAGTCAAACACATTAAGTATTCTTGAAAAATGCAGGAGAGTTCTCATATAAGCTTAAAAACTGAATGTTATGTACAAAATCTCTGCTTTTGCCAAACCCCTTCTGTGTTCCTCAGAAATATCACAAGATTTTTTTTGGATAGGTGGTTTCAGATCTTTTCAATGTTTTCAATCTAGCAATGCTACTGTATATAGCAAGTAAGAATAGAAAATACTGTCCAGGTGTTTTGGAACTGGTTAAGGTGCAGACCATATTTGAACATAACCTTGATAAACACCTTAGGTCATGAGTGTCCCTTAGAGGAGTCTATAAATATAGCAGTGATTGATAGGAAACTATCCATTCATCACCTCATCTGTTTTTTCCATTGTGATATTTAGTTTTTTAATAGTGTGTCTAAAAGTTTCCATTATCCTCAGCTGTGTGTCCTGACTCACTGAATACTAGAGCACCATAATAAATCAATAATTGTTTTAGAATCTGCTTAAATGTCCCACTAAAATGTAGAATTTGATCCTTCTGATCACTAAGATTGCCAAATGTGAAACTCTGTTCCATAAAATTCTTAACTGATGCATTTGCAATTTGAGAAAAAAAAGAGACTTTTTGGAGTTTTATAGAATAGAAACTAACATAAAAGTATTTTCCTGGGAGAAGTAGCCTAATTTTTTTTTGTTTGCCTTGGGTGTCTCAGGCCTTCCGTGCCCGTGATGAAGCCCAGAACCAGTTCTCTCAGTGCCTCATTGATAAAGACAAGTACAGGAAGCAGATCCGTGAACTGGAGGAGAGGAGTGATGAACTGCATATTGAGATTGTGCGGAAGGAGGCCAGAATTGTCAACCTAGAGTCTAAACTCCGACGCCTTTACAAGGATGCCAATTGCTTGGATCAGGTTAGCAAGAATGAAGGAGTATACTGTGGTCTAAGATTTTCACTTTTTAATTTCATGTAATTTAATTTCAGTCTTAAAATGCCTATACCTGTATACTCATCCAATATACTTATAAATAAGCAGAATTAGTTCCAAAACTTCTGCTTGAAGGCAACAATTCCTAAAAGCTAGACTATTCCCATTAAAATACATGTAGAAGCCTCTGATTCTTACCAGGTTCTCATAACTGGACATAAAACAAATTAGCTTAGGAGCTTAGGTGTATGTGATGTATTTGAATATTTGCAAAGTATATGTTACAGCATTTTTGATGCAAGCTGCTATAGTATGTTTAAATGTATTATGAAGCAGTCATGTGGAAAAATAAAAATTGCATGATCTCTATAGTACACATGAACGATAAATGACATGATCTAATAAAAAAATTATTATTTAGTTAATACATTTTGTGCAGTCAAAGACAGAACAAAATCCATAAGATCAAAGCATCAAACTGTCTGGTGATATTGATACCATGCATTCATAGTGCACATTTGAAATGTTCAAATTCATCAATAAACATTAATTTTGAATTTTGCATTAAAAAAATATTCTGCACCTTATTTAGTATAATACATTGACGATAACAAAAATATATATGTAAACGTATTGCTCTTTTTAACACGGTCTTGTAAGTAAAGTGCTCATTTAGCAAGGTATGAATGTATAAATGTCCTTTATTTTAAAAAGGGACTTCTCCTATCCCAAGTACCAGTGTAATGAAAGTGATTGATAAAGGGTGTATTGAGTTGTTTGCATTCTGGAGTATTTAACTAGAAAACATCAAATAGAAACCACATGGCTGGCCCACTTAACCAGGCTGGAAATGTAATGACCGGCAGCTAATGTGCCTTTGTGGTATAAAAAGAGAATATAGGACAAGAAGGGGTAAATATAGAAAGAAAGTAGAAGCAACAAAACAGGAGACAATGAGTTATAGCTTTAAAACCCATTTTCTCCACTGGATTCCTCCTTGATGAACAGAAACCTATCGGATATTTGGCACTGAAGGGACATACTGTAATGTAGACTAAAGTAAAGAAGTATAGTTTGTCGCTATTTGGATGTACCTTTGCTAGGAACCAAAGGGCACCTCCTTTGTGTCATTAATTTAGAGGGCAGGCTTATACTATATTTAACAATGTATATTGAAGCCCAATTGATTTATGCTCTTCTGAGCATTAGCTAATCCATTTTAGCGGTCTAGCAGAAGAGTTTGGGTGATCTCTATCCTGTTGTACATTTTAATTTCTAATAGTTTCTACATGTTGTGACTTTGGTGTGTTAGTTTAATAAATCTATGTCTTGTAATCTATTTCCTGTTCTAATTTCTCCTACCAAATTGTTCATGGAAAGCTGTAGAAGCCACATGACCTTGCTGAGTATTCCTTGGCTCATGAAGGAGAGTGAATATTTTTAGAAATTGCTTGTATTCATACTGGTGTCAGATGAAATAATTATTATTTTCTGTAAGCATCCCTCCCTTTGTTAATAATAGTTTAAATTTAGAAATTAAAAATTAGCATGTGTTATTAATCAGCATTACTTTGAATTCTTTGTTTTCATAGTAAAAGCAATGCTGTTTCATGCTGGATCTAATTGTGAGTTGCAGAATCTTTTTGTTTAAAACACTTTTCCCTCCACAGAGTTTACCCCGAGACATTCCCATAACAATCATGTCCCAGACCTTTGGACCTCAAGACCCAAAACCCAATGGCCAAGAAGAGGAATCTGATGAGGAATCTCCTGAAGACAATAAGTTCTTTCAGCCTGAACCTCGGCTAAAACGCAGGCCTAACCTCAAAGGACTGACAGTAAGATTCCTGTGCATAGAACTGCAATTTGAAAAAAGTATTGTCTGAGATGTTTATCATTACTTTTTAATCTCAACAGCTTTATACTGCTTAAAAAGTGTCTAAATTTGATTTAAAGAGTCAATAATATTTTTCCTTGCATTATAAACTTTAGCATATTGTACTTTTTTTTTGTTTCAGTAACCTCTTAATGTTAAGAGTATCAGTGAGATGCACTACTTGATATTTTATACGGTTTGAACAATACCTTTCTTCTGTAATTGTATACTCAAAGATTATGTATAATATAATGTATCTTTTATTTTTTATTTACAGAATGTAAGAGTGAAGTCTCCAATCACTGTTAGTAAGCCACCAGATTTTCAAGGTAATTAGCTAGAGTTCACTGCAAGTTCTCACAGTTAATGATTAATGGGAAATGAAATTTTGACTAAACATGACATTGTTAAATTTTGTTTTGCAGAAAGAAATTTTCTTTGTTGTTTTGGGGTCTTTTAAGAAAATTAATAATACTTTTGTTGCACTTTTCTTTATCCCTCATCCCTTTCAGCCGCGTTAGCTGTATTAACTCCTGGGGAACTGTCTGATGGGGCTAGCACAGGGACAGACACCGCCTCTACAACCACAAACATGAACACATCTGAGGTGTTGAATAAACATGTGAGTTCTAATTGGTTTATTTATGGGATTGTTTTTATGTTCAGAAGTATTAGTAAAATAATTTATTGAAGTCTGATTCTACATTCTATCTCATCAAAACACATATATTTCTTTGTGTACTAATTTAGTCACAACTTTTAGGAACATGCATGAACATAATTGTGAAATTAATTGTGCTTCCAGTCTTGACTCAGCATATTATATGAAAGCAGATTTTTGGTAAGTGTTTAGAAATATTTTAGGAGAAATGTAAAACAGGTTATGTACCTGTTGTACCATACAAAAGTGTTAATCTAGTTTTCTTTTCGTCTGTTTCTCTAAAAAGCTCTTACGGTGTCGAAATGACAGTATAATGTCCACAACCGCAGAGCCACCAGGGAATGACTCCATTGTCAGACGTAATAAAGAAGGGGATCATGAAACTCAACCAAGAAGGTAAATTCAGGAGACACTTTATTCCAATGCCAGTCTATCTGCAGGGATTTTCCTTGGCTTCTTTGTTGATGTTTCTGGGTAAATTTGCATTACTCTGTGCTGCAGAAAGACGTTTTGTTTTTTCCATAAGACAGAACAGAGAGCTCTGTAGTGAGTGACATTTTGCCCTGTAAAAGTCCTAGGCACTAAAGACCACAAATCCTGCTTTTTATGCTCATCAGACATTGGATATGCTAAGTATAACGCATAGTATGTACTCTATAAATCATTGGGTTTGGAGTCTGTAATTGACTGGTTAGTGTTTTTTATTTAGTTAATATTTTCTTGTATTCCTTATTCTAACTAAATGTTTCTCTTTTTTAGCTTAATGGATTATGATTCTGACAGTGTGGATCTTTGTGGTAAAGTAACTATTTGTTCAAACTTTTTGCTATTTCAAGGTTGACACTTTTTAAAAGGGCAAGTCAGCATGACTAGAACTGTTCTAAACAAAAGTTCAGGAGTTGGTCAAACTGAATATCACTAATTTCTGACTACCTATGTATCAGTATCCCACTTCCTATTTACTTTTGTTTTCACTTGTGTTTTGTTTTTGCACTTATCTCAGAAATATTTATAAGACTATGGTAACAGCATCCCTACAGCAGCTCTTCTACCTGACTCCTGCTTTGCTCCCACAATCTTCACCTTAGACTGCCTGCTTTTGTAGCCCAGGCTGGCTATATTGTAATAATCAGTGGAAGATTGATTGTTCCCCATTCCACAGGATCCACAGATGCCTGCTTTTCCTGTCCCCCTTTTCCACACTTTGCTCACTTTAGGATTAGCCTCTTAGGTATAGCCACTCACGTGTATTCTGGTTAAATGTGCTTCATTATTGATCTCCCCTTTTTCTAACTTCCCTGCTTGTGGCATTAACAATTCTGCTCCCTAAGACCTCTAGCATTTCCCAGGTACTGCACTGTCCTAGGCATTGGTTCCTTACAGAGGAAAATAGTTCAGGTCCTTTTGACCTCATGAATCTCCTCAGATTTCCCTGTAGAGATTTGTAATCTGTAACCTTTTGTCATCGCCCCTATTCCTTGGGCTAAGTTCAGTCATATATCCATTTTATATATTATAAATAAAGGCTTGTTAACTCATGGCATATCATGAATTTGCAGAAGTTTGTATTACTGCATTCTATTTGTAACCAATTGTTAATATGCTTTAGCACCACATTCTTTATTGCCATTTCTTTTTCGGTGCAGCAGCCATCACTGCTCATCACGGAATCCCAGTTGCCATGTTTTGATTCCTTGTGTGCTGGTCCTCTGATATACTTGAAGTTTAAATCAAATTTGAATGTAATCCTCTTTAATAATGCTCACCTTGTACCACAACTGAGTATTGGTGGTGGTGGAGGGGATCCCCATTACCTGTAAAAGCGCTTTGAGTGGAGTGTCCAGAAAAGTGCTACAGTATATAATTGTAAGCAATTATTATTATTATTATTATTATTATTATTATTATTATTATTATTGTTATT